GCGCAACGGGGTAATGAACCGTGATTTGATCGCGAATTTATTTACAGCTTGTATGTGTGTATCTTTGTTGCGTTTGTGTTGAAGATTTTGTATAAAATTTTTTAACACTTTCTAAATTAAATATTTTTTTGGAGAGCAAAATAAAAATATTTTAATATTAAAAAATATTTTTCCCCAATTCAAAAAATTATTTTTTTTGAATGTTTTGATTATTTTTGAAAGAAAAAATTTTTTTTAGTATATTTTTTATTTTTATTTTATTAATTTTTTTATTGTTGTTTTCACGAAAAAAAAAATATTTACGATTTTACTTTTATAATTTTTTCTCACAATAAAAAATTCTTAGCTAAAATTTTTTTTTGGAATTTCACCTAATTAATAGAATTTAACAAAACTTTCAAAAATAAAATTTTTTTTTAAACAATTTTTTTTAATGTATTATTTATTTTTTTGAAAAATTATTTTACAATTTGTTTTAAATTCTATTATTTGCCCAATTCGTTATATTAAATAATATTTTAATTATTAAACTTATTATTATATCGTAATTTTTTATTTAATTTATTTAAAATTTTTAATAATTTTTTCACTAAAAAAATTCTATTCACTTATTAATTTTTTAACTCTTTCTCAATAACACTTTTAATTATAAATATTTTTTGGTTAAAATTGACTTTTATAAATTATTTTAATATAAATTTAGAATATTTGTATAGAAAATTATCGATTTAAATATTTATTTTCGAATTCTTAAAATGTAACACTAATTTTTATAAATTTAAATAATTTTATTAAATGCTAATTATTTTTTTAATGTGTTAATTATTCAATATAAAAATTATTTTAATATATATTTTAAGTTTTATTTTATTTATGTACGTCGACAACACTTCCGGTGCCTCATAAAAACCAACAAAATCATACATTTTCTTAACTGGAATATTTAAACGTATTATTTATGCTGTAACCTATTTATACTTTCAACTGATAAAAATATGTTTTTGTTTTTTAAATAAACATGTTTAAAATTTGAAAACAACTTGTACCTGACAGTGAAGTCATAAATCTGCGACCACTTAGCCAATACTTGCTCATACTTAACTATATTCACCATGTGCTGAAAAGAATTAGTTGTGTACCACTTACAACTAGTAGCATATGGAAGTACAGCTAGTTAGCTTATCTGATTAATATTTTTCTATATGCACAAATGGCAACCTGCAAGAGCTAAAACTAATTAAACAAAAGATCTTTAGAAAAAGTTTTGCAAATCTATATCTAGGACTCGGCGACTGAAAACAATGAACGCTTCATTAGACCAAAATGCTACGCTAGATAATTATAAATAATATTTCTGGCAAAGCTTCTCCATTCGAACATTTTGCACGAAATATATAAAAATTCTAAAAAGCTTTACTAATAATACTTTTTGGGGAAAATCCAAGCTAAGAAAGAGATTTTGACCAAGACGAGAAACGGGTATCTCTTAGGGTCTCTAGTGTTTTGAGATACACAAAAATATTTGCAAAGTGGGTTGCAATTGCAACAAATCAAATTAATTGTGGACTACTGTATTTTCCAACTGGAGTTTCTATTTGTAAACTACTTTCTTCAAAACTAGTCTTAGATTTGTTTATGGGTTACTTTAATATAGATATTAGTAAACATGTGTTCTCAAAATATATTTACAAAAATTTGAACAAATAGCAGACGGAAAAGTCATATGTCCCATATAACTGGGTACATTCGCTTTATGCGCTGTCTGCTAAGCCATTCGTCGGCTTCTTTCGGAAAAATACTTAGGCCAAACAGATAAACAAATAATTCAATGACGTCAGTGGGAAAAGCAAAAGTGAAAATTTGAAAAAAAGTGATGTTGGCATACCTCAAATAAACAGAAATAAAAAAAAAACGAAAAAAGTGGGTAAAGTAAATAAATAACTTTTCATTCAAAATTTGTTCAAATCAAAGGTGGAATTTCCGTTGAATGGAAATTCAAATAACGAAAGCTACACACAAACAATAAAAATGCCACATGCTTAAAAATAATAATTCACAAATGCTGGAAATATTACAAAAAAAAAAAACAATAAATTTTTTGGGAAAATAAGGAAAAATATGACGAAACAACGGTATTTTGGAGAAATAAATAGCGGTTTGGGGAAGTGCGTAGGTTTCTTGTTTAAACAAATGTATTTCTAGCATTATAATATCTATTTTTGAAGTTCACTTAATTTGTTTATTCAAAGCCTCATTTGCTGGCATTGTTCGCATACCAATGTGTGGTTATTTATGTGCGCCGCCCAAATAAATGCTATAATTAAAGCACGTATAATATTTTTTTTTCTGTTTGGAAAATTTTTTTTTAATGCCTAATTTTATTTGTTTATATACTGTCATATATACCATATAACTAAATGTTACGTCATTCAAAAATGTTGCTCATTGCAGTCGCGCCACAAAAGCGCCCCCATCTTCAACGTCATTGATTATTTTTTTAATTTTTTAATTTTTTGGTGAATATTTTTTTATTTCTTATATTTTTAAATAGTGTTATTGGTACTATTGAACTATTTTATTTACTTTATTTTATTTGATTAGCGTAAACAAATTTCCTACGCTTCGCCCACGGCCTTGGTAGTAAACACTCAAGATATTGTAATCTTTTAAAAAAGAGAAAATCAGTGCGTACTTATTTTTTGGTGGTGAAAATAAATATATAAATCCAACAAGTAGCAGTGTGTCTCTGAACAAAAAAAATATAATACAATTTAGGATTTTTTCTTTAATGAAATTTTTGTAATTTTATTAAACAATAAATTATTTAAAAATGAGAAATTATCAAATCTTTATATTTTTATGCTCATATTTGAGCCCAATAAACATATAATTTTGAATATATAAATCAACCTGGTTCAAATAAAATATTGTTTCTGATGTTAGGATCGGTTAAATGAGATTTGTTGGCTGATCCTTCAGCATGGCAGTAGATCACACTTAGACGGTTACAGTCCTTTGTGAAGCCAGACGAAAAAAACTCCTGTAGTTAGATATAAGCTATCGGCGAAACGCATTGACGCCGCCAACACAAATCTGCTTAGGTGCTTTATTTCTATTTCCCCTATCTGACAAAAGCTGAAAGTGTTGAGATAATTCTATCACATCTTCTTCCAAACAGCTGATTCTGCTGGCATCCGGTAAGATGTTAAATTTTACCGCTTGAATCTAGATTGTACAGTGTCCAGTTAGAACTACTATAACTATTGAAGGGTGGATCTTGCCGAGAGCGAAGAGTTCACTATACCATTTACGATTTACCACAAACCAGAAGGACCTTGCGACTTTACAGTTAGTAGTCGACTAGCGTTTGTTGGTTTGATCTGAGGCCCAACAGTCCAGTAGTGAACCACAAGAAGGCAACGAGGCTCCTACCCGTTCTCATTCCATTCCAGTTATTGAAACTGAAGTACCTGTTCCAGCAAGCTCATCAGCCTTCCAGTTTCCTGCAATACCGCTGGGGTCAGGCACCCAATCCTGATGTTGCTTTAGCGGAATATGGTATTACCCACAGCTATTTGTTCAAGGTAACAGTCATGTGTTGGATATAAATCCAGCTTCGTTCCGGTTATATAGACACGGCAATGCAGTAACAATGATGACAAAAAACCGCGCCGATTACAATTATTTAGCAATACTAATATAGCTCAAATATCTATTCCGTGGTCATATCTGTCCTAATTTTTTTAAAAGCTAAAATTTAAACAAAGTTTGAGAGATTCGGGAGCCGCAAATGCTTGAAAATAAAGGACCTGTCTATAATTGCAGAAGCACGGAATTTTTTATTTGACTTATGATCTTTTGACTCGTGAGTCTTAAATTATTTCGTATGGTTTCGAACTCATACCGAAAACTGCACTTTCGAATCTCTTAACAAAACTATGTTCATTCGAAACTAAGTTTCTTTAAGGTTCATTCAAGTTTTACGACTCCGCAACATCTCTAAAGTAATTATTATACTCTCGCAACATGTTGCTACAGAGTATAATAGTTTTCAGAAATATGTATTTGTGCAAAAAAAAAATTATATTCCAATTTGGGATTTTGAAATATGATCCATCATAGCGATACCGGTGATTGAAAACAGTTAATAAGTAATAATTGGGCTAACTTCTTCTACGATTTTTGTGGTAATTTTTTCATACAATGGATGCAAAAGGTGAGTGGTAAAGGGTTTATTGAAAAGGAAGGTACTTGAAATATGTTCACGCTCGAACACACAATTGGTATAAATGAAAAAACTTACATAAATTAAGAAGCTTTAAGCTTAAAAATTAAAAAAAAATACCTTGCCAGAGCTAAAAACTACGCCTCTTTTAAAAAGAAAATATATTGTATTTTGCCTCAGGTGTCACATCAAATACATGCATGTATACCGAGTGGAAATAAGTAGAGGAAGAGCTTATGGCGTAAATAATTTCAAATATACTATGCAAATATGTTGATAAGTCGTTACCTTGAACTTGTTTTTTTTTCATAATTTCTATAAATAAGAATTTATATTTTTAAAATCGAACTCATATTTTTCACAAAATTTTGAGGAATTGTTTTCGCTTCAGCGCGTCCATATTTTTATGCAGCAAAATACTTGTATATCAAAATAAGCCACTACTATATGTATAAACACCGATCTGAAAATACGTGAATAAAAACACTTAGATATTTTATTAGTAACAATTTTGGCAGCTAGCAAAATTGAAGTGTCGACAACAAGGTACTTAATGCGCGGAAAACGAATTAATAATATGCACTGCGGAATGTTGTTTGTAAACAGAAAGCTATAAATAAATTGCAGAAGATTGCACTGAAAATTTTCTTTAACATAATATTTCTTTAAATATTTTTAGGAAAATAATAATAAAGTTATTGTTTATACTAGATTTTTTTTTTAATATTTATTTTATCTTAACAGAAAAAATATTTTTTTTTCCATACTAATTTTCTTCATTTCTCTCTTCGTGTACTTTCAGCTCTCGACATACGCCTATACATATGCACACACCCTTCCCGGGCATTTCACAATTGTCGCCGAGCCTCTATTTGTGCGGCGCTGGCGTAGTCATGCCAATGATTCTCGATCAGTTACAGGTGCGTTTCATTATCAATGTCGCCCCGGAGCTGCCCGATACACCGCTCTCCAGCGTTACCAAGCCGCTCTATTTACGTATCAACGCATATGATCGTCCTGACACCGATCTGTCGCTACACTTCGACGAGGTGGCCGATATGATTGAAGAGGTGCGTCAGCTCGGCGGCAAATCGCTGATACACTGCGTGGCCGGTGTCAGCCGTTCGACAACACTCTGCTTGGCATATCTCATGAAATATGGTGGCATGTCACTGCGCGCCGCCTACTTGCACGTCAAGGCCATACGTCCACAAATACGTCCGAATACGGGCTTCTTCCAGCAGTTGCGTTGCTATGAAGAACAGCTGAGCGGCGCCTGCTCGGTGCAGATGGTCTACTATGAATCGTTGAACAGGGAAATACCGGATGTCTATGAGCCGGAATATCGTGCAATGGAGGAGTTCTACCAGCGACAACGTAAAACTTTGAAACGGCATTAAGGAGCATTGCTTGGTGGGATGTTATGTTTGTGGGTGTTTAAAATAGAAAACTTTATTCCAAAGCGTAGTTTTAACGGTTTGTTTGAGTGGATATAGAAATGTTTTGTTTGTCGTATGTGTGTTTGTTAAGAAATTGTAATGTAAGTGAACGATTTTATGGAAAAGTATTGATGTGCCTTAGGCTCGACTTATGTCTGTATTCGTAAATTTTTAGTTGTGAACTTTCCTGTAGTTCCTAGTGTAATGTATTTATATCGCAACTGTTTTCCAGCCTAGTGCTTAGTGTTTGCACGTTTTTGCTGAATTGCAAAGTTTTAGTATTTTAGAGATATTTTATTTAATAAAATTTTCAAAAATATGTACAATAATAAAATTTGAAAATTATGCATAAAATATAAGAAAAGTGTTATTTTCAATTGAAATAAAAGTAAGTACAATATTTGGAATATGAAAGCTCTTGGGTGCATAGTGAGAACACCCTATAAAATATCTGCTGATACCTGTTTTTTTTTTAAGTATAGGTTTCGTGTAGTAAACATTATTTCTGGTGTTCTTGTAGTTCAATCGCGTTCATCAATTTAAGATATATTTCCGGAAAGATCGATTGATCTTTTACGGTTATTTGAACCAAATTTACATGAGATGTTGTAATGTATACTGAAAATTCGTCTTTTAAGTAACTGTTGAGTAAAGGTTTTCACTGAACGTTTTAAAATTATGGGCATCTATAGGCCTGGCCTATATATTGTATATATATAGTCATCAGAAATTGCAAATCTTGAAAGGCTTGACTTTTTAGTCGTTCTCTTATTTTTGTTAATCAATTTTGGAGTTAAGTTAGTTTTCGCAGTTAGATTTTGCTAATCCAGTTATGATTGTTGTATTCAAACTTTTATTACTATACTATTTGTAAAGGTTTAGGATTTATCCGCTATCTACTATCAAAACGATATGAAGCAGAGCAAATATATTGTTGAGTTTTTATCTAAAATATTCAGAAAACTGGAGTAAAAATATAAAATTACAGAAAACGTTAACCCCAAATATTAAATTCAAAAATAGTATTAGGCATAATTTATACATAATATTTTTACAATTTTAAGACATGAATAACTTTATAGTTTTGACGTCAAACTTATTCGGGAATAAACGAGTATGAGTTTAAGTGTTTCAAAAAACATTAATTTCCTAGTTTTTTTGAGTATAGTCGCAAGTTACACACACAAAATCATAAATAAATACTTTGGTGCGTGACTTTGCTAAGATGATCTTGCTTTATATTGTGCAAATGTTCATATTGGTTTTCCACCTGGCTAACACATTTTTATTTGTACTGTACATGAAGTGATCGCGACATTTGCATATGTATACTTTTAGGGGTTTGCTGTCATAAGCGCTTGTTTTTAATGTTTCCATGCTAATAACTATTTTTGTAAAATAAACTAAACAATTTCATGATGATTATAAATTGAACGTGTATGTTTGTAGCTATAAGAAATGCTATATTTGTTAGTTTATATATATGTTTGCTAACTTTTCCAGCATTATTTAATTGTGGTTGTAGCTTTAGTGACCCAATAAAATATTACTCTATGAGACTTTCGAAGTATATCAAATAATAGGTGTATGTTATAGTTAAAAAACAAACAAAGTTAGGAGCTGTGAATCATGTTAAAAATAAACGCACGCTTGCACATAACTATTAAAATATTTAGTTACTATTGATTGATCTACAGCACTGAATAAGAGTCATGAAGTTATAGATAGCTCATGCGGTCTTCCATCCAATAAGTGAATAATTAAAAAAATTCTATTGGAAAGCTGTTGTTCTGCCATTAAATAGACGATAAAAGCTCTTAACATATTTTAGCTGCATATATATCGGCTGATTTTGTTGCTTTGGGTAGAAAGGTCATTTCCGGCAAAATCCCAGTAAATTACCAGATTTAAAATATTTATAAAAGCATTGCTAAACGCCTAGAAAGCCTTAGCCTTAGAAACCTTATTTTTGTGATATGGATTCTTTTAGTTTTTCTACTGTTCTAAAACTTAAGGAGTTGTTTTGAATAAGGTTGCGAATTTTTTAATTCAAAGATCTCGAAATTAAAAATTGAAAATAAAATTTTTTGTTTTAATAGCAAAATTTTACAATTTTATTTCCCTTAATAATAAGATAGAAAAAATATAAATCGTGTGAGGCGCGGCCGCCTGCGGTGCGGCGCTCATGCGTCTCGCTTTTCAACCAACCAAGATTTTCGTGATTACAAAATAAATAAAAAACTTTAACTTAAACGTTATTTGAATTATTTTTTTTATGCAGTATTTGCCACTCTGCCCATGACAAATCTAAAGTCGCAACAAGAAATTTCCTAAAGCTCTGTCGAAAAGGTGAGATCATAAGAGAGTTTTCTGAAAGAAGTAAAGGTCATAATAAAGGTCGAGTGTTCGGAAATTTGGATTACTAGTTGAAATGTCAACTCAAAAGGGGCTTGTTTTGAGATTTGTAATAAAATATGTTGCAAAAGAGAAAGTATAAAAAATTGTGTTTAAATAGTCAAGGTGAATTGGCGCTGAAGGGGTGTCAAAATAATCCTTTCATATTTTTTTAAATCAGAGTGAACTTGCTAAATATGAAAGTTAAATACTTATGTTAGTTAACTTTGTGAAAACAAATAATAAGAATTTAAATTCGATAACAATTGAGCGCTTATATATCTCTATTCGATATATTGAGGTGCGCATATTTGCATGTAAATATGCATGTACATATAAACTAAAAGTTATGTACCGAAAAATGAGCACCTTTTTTGGATCGATGATCTGCATATTTCTATCACTACATTCTTTCCTTTTTTCACCAGAATTACAGGCCATGACCATGACCATGATCGTGGCTATGACCGTGTAAATAAAATGATTTCTATAGCGAAAAAATCATCAAAAATAATAAAGAGAATACAACAAAAAGACACCAATTAGGCAGCACACCAAAAACTACTTCTATCTAAATTGTCTTCTACGGCAAGGCGGACAATGAACCAATAGACACACTCACACATACATTCAACGTGACACAGCTCATAGACGGGCTATCAAACGAGGCATCAAGTAGAGTAGTAGTCATGCTGTCGAAATACAACAACAACTAAATTTTGTTATGCGAATGAATTGAGTTTTGCATACCCTTCACCCAGTTATCCATCGCGAGGCGCTAGCAGCTTTGAGAAATTTACGCGTGCGCACGCACTTTCAATCTCATGCGTTCTGCTCCGCAACTCTCTCGTGTTTCGTGGTTCAACGGCCGCTTGTGTATAGATCAGTTTTTTCTTGTAGACAGGAGAGATTAGCATAATGAAAATTGTTTTATTTCGCATTTTTTCTCAGCTTTAATATACGTATGTATGTGTGTTTATAGAAATGTATAGATCAATAACTCATAGTTTGATGATAGGTGGGTATTCACGAGTAGCTTAGCGAGAGTGTTTTTCTGCTTTTTGTTGTTCATGTTTTTTGTGATTCTTCTTTCTTTTGAAGCCTGCGAAAGTGTGTTTGCTGGCCGTTTTTTCTTGCGAGTTTGCACTGACCTTCAACTTGGATTTCGCTGTCACATGGCTGCTTGAAAGGTTTATTGTTTTAATACCATAGTAAGTCAAATATATACATATACATATACAAATGTGATAGTTGCCCAATCTATCATCAGTCATATATGATTAATGATTTATTGGAAAAGTTATTTGTAATGATTAAAAATATTTTAATTAAATGCATAGTTAGCTTGTTTTTGTTTGGTAGTTCTTATAATTCGTTCTTATGCCTCTCGAATTAAAAAATATTCAGGATTTTTGGTGTAAGCTGTTTTTAGTCGTGGGAAATTCAATAGAAAGAACACAGCAAGTATGTTTGGAAGAGTTAAGTTTGGCTGTGAGCTCATCAGAGATACTGTGGTGTCGGAGATAATATAAAAACAGGAAATAATGTTAACTTCGGCTGCAGCGATTTTAGAATGCCCTTTATAAATAAAGAAGTCATAGAACAAGTTAATTTTAATCGTTCAGCTTGTATGGCTGCTATATGCTATAAAGGTCCGATATCGGTGGTTAAGGTCAAATGAGCGGCTCCGGTTTCCTTTTATTTTTGTTGAAAACATCATGAGAAACTGAATATAGCCTGTTCAGGGTATACATATTATTTTTATAAACAACCTTCCATTCGAAAAGGCTCCGAAGGCGAACCGAAGAAGGCTCTACAATAGTACTTAAAACCAAATATATATAATATATTAAACGAAATAAAAGTTCACGGCAATTAGTGTTTTTTACAGTTGGGTCATTAATATGTAGTTTATATTGCTCAAGATGTTCAATGAAAAGGTTAATTAACGAAGTCAATAGACAATAGTATAACAACGTGGTATCCAACCGTAGTCAAACCAATAATGTTTTATGGAGTATTCGTCTGATGGAGGGCACTCGAAAAGACTACACTCGTTAAGAAGCTTAAACATGTCCAAAGAGCGTCTGTCATCGCCATCTACGGTGCATTTTGCACTAGCTAGGTGTATTGCTGAGAAAAACGCACTAATGTCCAGAAAGCTGGGTAAGGGTCGAAACAGGGTCGTGCTGAAAAATTGTAGAAGGAGAATACTCTTGATGTCTTCTATGATTACATGCCGTCGAAGGAGAAGCCGCTTGAAAAGAGCCGCAGTGTGCTTTTCTACAAATGGGTCTAAGCTAGGAGGGAAGTTTTCTGTAAGGAGCTTTCCGTCAAGCTTAGTTTTAGACTCAGAGCATAGCGGCAATTATAGTTTTCCGTTCGTTCACTGTGCGCTCAAAGGGATATTTTGCAAGACTGAGATTTAAACGGTTTTCTTTGAATCTAACCTAAGGCAGTATATTCAATTTATATATATAAAATATTTTTTAAAGGTATATATAATAATTTCCTAAAAGCATAGCTGTCAAATCAGGTGTCAAAGTAAACACATGAAATTGACATTCATGTGGACATGATAGTTGAGTATGTTAACAGCTTATAAATCCTATCACTAAACACCTGTATTTGATTAGGCATATCCTGTTAAATATGTGCACTTTGCTAGGTAGTGCCATTTGAAATCCAAAATCAAGCTTATAGCTTCACCTTTGACTTTTCCTCCCTTCTACGTCATCTAATATATTCGATGTCAGAACTATTTAAAAGCTTCATAATTCGAATCAAAACAACTTCAGGCTCAATAAATTAATAATTATTACGCTTTCAACAATGAACAACAAAATGTATTTGTGCTTTGGGTACTAAATTACCTACAAAACTCATTTTTTTCGACGCGAACGTATTTTATATAGCGTTCTTACCACTATTTGGATAATAGCTTAACTTTTAATCTTCCA